ACTCGATAAACAATGTTTGTTCGTGGGATTGACAAAACTAAGGGGATCTAACAATTTGATTAATCATGAATCTATTTATTTTAGTTAATTACATTAATTTGTACAACAATCTTAAAACAGATTATATGTTTTTCATAGTGTACTAAATAGATTCATATCTATATACACTGCTTCCGAGTCATGATTAGAAGACTAGGGGGAAAAAAAAAAAAAAAATTTGCCCAGTTCCGTGTGAGACCACCTGTAGGACTTCCAGCATGTATAAATATATTTACGCATTTGTGTTTTTTGTTGTGGTGTACACTGCTTCCGAGTCATGATTAGAAGACTAGGGAAAAAAAAAGAAAAAAATTTTGCCCACTTCCGTGTGAGACCACCTGTAGGACTTCCAGCATGTATAAATATATTTACGCATTGTTCTTAAGGCATTGTTATGCATGTTTAGTATAATAATAAAATAAAATTGGAAAACAGTTGTTTGGTGATGAATTCTTGATTACAAATGTGTATTTATAGATAATACTTCACTTCACTCACCAGCATGATTAGTAGAATAATATATAATAGGTATTTATTTGCAAATCAAATCACCCCAGCATGACCATATTTTATTAACTATGATGTGTCACTGTGTTTATTTGTGTTTCTATTACATGAACGTTATACAAATTTATTGACATACGTTCCTGATTATTTTTGGCCACCCGTTTCATCATATGATTTGCATACTCATGAGTCACAAGTTGTTTAGTTAAAAATTGACATGCTCAATAAGTTCTAATTTTCTAGTTCAATTAAAATGTGTTATAATATAATTTGTATGTTTTAAAAAATTCCTGATTTTAATTTTTGTTACATGCTTATTATCTCTAGAATTATTTACATGGTTATTGTAACAATCACATATAATTCTTACCTATTAAATTTAATTTAAGGTTTTGGAGTTATCAAAATTGTGTAAAGAAAACTGCAAATTTATTTTATTGGTATTATAATGTCATATATAATTACCTCATAATTTGAATTTATTTATGTGAAGTTATAAGGTACATGTAACTCTTGCTAATTAAAATTTTTGATTTATAAATTTTTAGTTTTGTAACTTGTCTAATTTTTTTTGCATGTTCTTTTCTTCTTTTTTTTTTTGTGTAATTTGCATGCTAATTGTTTTATAATTTCTAGAATTACTTATATTCATGTTAATTGTCCATAATTATGTACATGTTTAGGCCTCATTTGGGAACCCTCTTTTTTAGCCAAAAAGTCAAAAAGTTATTAGCCAAAAAGTCAACAACTCATACCAAAAAGTCAAAGATTCTCTTTTCTCTCTACTTTTTGCACATCTTTTCGTAAAAAGTCAAAAAGTCATCCCAAACATACTAGTTTTTTTTAGCTCATATTTTAGCCAAATAGACAAAAAGTTACTAAATTAGCCTGCTCCCAAACGAGGCCTTAATGTGTCATAAGTTCATATATAACTCTTGCAAATTAAAAGTTTTAATTTTAATTGTGAAGTTATAAATTTTATTTTGTAACTCATCTAACATTTTAATTCATTAGTTAATTTTATTATTAAATAGTTTGCTAGATGGTTTCAAATTTCTTTATATTGTTTGGCTTGTATTTTCTTGTGGTTTTCTGCTAACTTGCTTTACAGGAATATCTACGCAAAAGGGATTGGAAAAACAAATGCAAAACCAAATGAATAGTATTTGGGATGTCAAAACAAAAAGTTTGGACAACTAACCTTTGTGATGAACATGAATTTCTAAGCGTTGAAAAGATTTTGAACTATATAAAATCCTTATGGATTGGTTACTTTCTTTATAATTGAAGCAATTTCTTGCTTGGGTTTAGTTGGTTTTTACCAATTGTGTAAAAGCAAGTTTTATTTGCTTGTATTGTTAGAAACATTTTATTTGCTTAATCATTGTTGTAGCAATTTTTTACATTATTTGTAATTTGGTTAGCAATTTTTAAAATTGCTCATAAGTTTGGAACTTGGTTTGATTTTCTGTAATAGAAACCAAAGTGTTTAGCCTTGGCTAAAGAATAATTCTTAGTTGTTCAAAAATGCCAACTAAGACGGATTTGGTTTCAAACCTTTGGGGGTTGAGAAAATCTTTGGGTTTAATCATTTTATTCCCAAAGTGTTGGAAAACCAAGTTTGGAAAAAGTCTTTGGTTATAATCTGATTATTTCCAAAATGTTTTGGTTTTGAGGAAAGAAACCAAAATTTTAGCATTCGCTAAAATATTTCTGATTTTTATTCAAAAATAATGGGCTCAGTTCCGAGAGTACAAGTTAACTTTTATAAATGGTATAATTTTGGTAGCAAATTTTATTTGCTTGGGAATTGGTTTGTTTTAACCTGGTTTATCCACTAGAAAACTTAATTCTAATTTTGTTTCCCATAGACTAGGAGTCAACATGCTCTTAAAAGTTTTGTCTAAGATTAACTGGGTCTTAAGTGGGACGGGTGTGACCCCTCCAGTCTTCCTGAAAACTTTCCTGACCATGTTCAATTCTAGGGTAAGTGGTGAGATCAGTTTTGAATTAAATTTCAAACTGTGGATTTTCTAGTGTTAAGTTTAGTGTCTGGAAAAATAGAATAATGAAATTTTGTTGTAATTTTTTTAAAATGGCTTCAAGAGGTGACAACAGAAATATTGTTCCACCTGCAAACCTGAAGCTTGCGAGGTTCTTAAAGGAAGATCTAGAGAGATCAAGTATGAGTAAAGAAAATCATAAGATTGCATGATATCTCTGAATTAATCAAAGGCGATTAGTATGTTATCCTTGTATCAATTATAGCATATATGATTACTATGTGACGTTGCTTGAAAGCAAAGTTGAGACAACCTGCTAGGGTGGGTGAATATATTTTTAAATTTTTAAATTCCAAATATATTGGTGGCTCTTAGTGAGTACAAGGTCACTAATCAAAGAGATAGAAAACTGGTGGTTCCTAGGAGGTGTTAGACCACTACAGTTATGAGATTGTGGTTCCTAGTAGTGAAGAGATTACTGATCACATGTCAAGACATGATGGTTTCTAGCAGTGGAGAGGCTACTGATCATATGTCAAGACATGATGATTCCGCGTAATAAAAGAGCCTATTGATCCTATGTTAGGACGTTGTGTTTCCTAGTAGTAAAGTGACTACTAATCACAGGTTAAAACATTGTGATTCCTAGTAGTAGAAAGTCTATTGATCACATGCTAAGAAATTAGTGATTCCTAGTGATAAGACTACTGGCCAGGTTATGAAGTTCCGAATAGTAGACTATTGAACACTAGATTTGTGTTTCCTAATAGTAAGACTATCAGCTTCAGAGTGATAGGTTAGACCAAACATGTTTGGGTGCCTAATTCGGTTGATGACATTCTAGAAATGTATTTACTGTGATATAATTTTGAGAGTTTCATAATCATTGTGACATAAGGAATTGTTTAAAAAGACCCTGTATGAATTTTTGGAAAAGGCCAAAAGCCTTTGTATAAATTCTACAAATGTGGGGGTGTCATGCAAAAAGTGATAATACCTAAACCCAAAAGGGTTAGGATAAGCCTAAAAATCCGCTGACTTTGTATTCAACGGTTATGCACAATATAGCAGTGCATATTGATTTATTGTGTATAGGTCTGTTAGTCCAGATATACACAAGAATACTATTATGGAATCAAGAAATGCATCTTTCTTTGAAAATGTATTTCCTTGTCGTCTCCAAGAAGGAATTTTGAGTTCCATGAAAGAGGTTGAAGGTGACAATGATCACGTGGATGATCAAGTCAATGATCAAGTCGATGATCAAAGTGAGGAAGTAGATGGGCCAAGAATGAGTAAGAGGACTAGGACTGCAAAATCCTTTGGTCCAGACTTCTTGACTTATATGTTAGAAAGAGAATCTCGAACTTTTCATGAAACTGTGACTTCACTTGAAAGTCCTTTGTGGAAAGAAGCAATTAAAAGTGTGCCTGACTCCATCTTACAGAACCATACTTGGGAGTTGGTTGATCTACCCTAGGCGGTGAGGCCTTGGGAAGTATGTAGATCTTTAGAAGAAAAATGAAAGCAGATGGATCAATTGATAAGTATAAAGCTAGGCTAGTTATCAAAGGATACAGGCAACGAGAAGGTCTGGATTATTTTGATACGTATTCACTTGTGACAAGGATTACATCCATTCGCATGGTGATTGCGATAGCAGCTTTACGTGGTCTGGAGATACATCAGATGGATGTACAGACAGCTTTCTTAAATGGAGATTTGAATGAAGAAATGTACATGGAGCAACCCGAGAGGTTTCAGCTCCAGGACAAAATAAGAAAATCTGTAAGCTTGTCAAAACATTGTATGGTTTGAAACAAGCTCTTAAGCAATGGTATGAGAAATTTGACACCGCTATGTTGTCAAATGGATTTAGAATCAATGAGTGTGACAAGTGCGTATATGTTAAAGACAATGATAGAGGTTATGTCATTTTGTGTCTATACGTAGTTGACATACTCATTGTTGGTAGTCATGATTAAAACTACCAAGAAATTGTTAAACTCCAAGTTTGATATGAAAGATATGCGCCTTGCAGATGTCATTCTGGGTATTAAGATCACCAGAACATCTAGTGGTATTGTACTTTCTTAGTCTTACTATGTTAAGAAGATATTTGAAAATTTTGGTAAATCAGATACAAGTGTGTCTAGGACACCGATAGACGTGAGTCTACATTTGACTAAGAATAATGGTGAGAGTGTCTCTCAGCTAGAATGTTCTCGGGTCATTAGAAGTTTGATGTATCTGATGAGTTATACAAGACCGGATATAGCCTACTCTATTAGCAGGTTTAGTAGATACATGAGTAATCCGAATGCCACTGATTGAAGAGGCATTACACGGGTGTTAGGTTATCTACGCTACACCCGGGATTATGGGCTACATTATACCAGATACCCAGCGGCACTAGAAGGGTATAATGACACTAATTGAATATCTGATATAATGGACTCCAAATCCACTAGTGGTTATGTATCTACTCTCAGAGGGGCAGTCGTATGTTGGAAATCTTCCAAGCAAACGTGTATATTAAGATCAATGATGAAATCTGAGTTTATTACTTTGGATAAAGAAACTGAAGAAGTTGAATGGCGTCGCCAGTTCATTGAGGATATTCCACGTTGGCCAAGACCTATGCCTGCTATCTGTATTCATTGTGATAACCAATTGGCGATTAGACGGGCACATAGTAATATGTATAATGGAAAGTCTAGGCATATCCGTTGTAAACATAATTCCATACGACAACTACTCTCTAATGGAGTTGTCTCTCTAGACTATGTAAAGTCTAAGGACAATATTGCGAATCCGCTAACCAAAGGATTAACTCGAGAGTTAGTAGAAATGTCGTCAAGAGGAATAGGGTGAAGGCCTTTAGTAATGTTATCGGAATCGAAAACCCAACCTAGTTTACTTGAGATCCCAAGATCTAGATTCAAAGGGACAACCTAATTGTGTGTAACGGATGAGTCACTGTGGAGGTAAATCATCTTGCCCATTCCTTTATACAGAGATACCCTAGGGAGTAGAAGGTTAAGCTGATGCTTTTAATGACCTAAGTGTTGTGAATAGTCAACTGTGGTATAGCGAGATACCTTATGTAGGTCACCTATGTGAGTGCGAAGTGGGCTCGCTTCTTTAAGAATTGACAAGGTTGAATTCTTTAAAAAACACTCATTGAACCAGGCTAGTGTTCCAGGGCCAAACCGGACACACCAGTGAAAACAAGAACAATGGTTGGAGTAACTCCTGTGTGAGGTCTATTGTCTCGATTTACACAAACAGCAGAATAGTTCAAGACATCACGTTCACTGGTCAGCCAGTAAATTCGATAGGCTTTCACTACGAAAGGTTCAAGGCCAATAGTTACCTTTTTTGATGCAGGGTTATTTTGTGTGCTCTCTCTCTCTCTCTCTCTCTGAGTCTTTGTTGTTAAGTGTTGTCCGGTTTTCTTTATTCGGCCAATTTTATTTATGTGGGAGATTGTTGGAAAATAATGGTTTTTCGACAATTTTAATTTGAAATTAAAGTGGAACCCAACCGCCGGTTGAGGTAGGTCTGAGTGATTTTGTATTCTCTTAAGTGAGAAGATTGCAATACAAAAATAATGAGCCAAAACTATTGAGTTGTGAATGAGAATTGGCTCATAAAATGGGAATCAATAAAGTTGGGTTTAGATTTGGACTTAGTCTTGGTTTGGACTGGGCCTAGACTTGTACTTGTGCATGTGCTGGGTTCGGTCTTAGACTTGGACTTGAACCTAATCTTGAGCTTTGAGCAGAGCTGTGTTGGGCTTAGTTTGTGCATATGTTTGAGATTAGGCTTGGATCAAGTTGTGACCCAACACCCGTATCTATTTTGCAACCTATCTTGTTTAATTACCAATACTTATACATTATATACACATTATGATTTATATAATAGTTTTGGAGTTTTGAACCTTTGAAACTCTAGCCCTAATGGCTAGAGTTGATAACATTTGATGACCCTATTGAAGTTAGTCTTCATGGCTAAGGCTCTCCCCTACTAGTATAAATAGAAGCCTTTCTCATCTAACTTAGTAGGTTGTTTTTAGAGAGGTTTTGTGATTGAAAATGAGATGGTGTTTTGAAATAAAACGTTGGAGATGATTTTTTACACCAAAGCTCACAGTGCGGTGACTAATTTGTTTTAAGGACAATGTGGCATCACATAGACTTCGATTTGTGCTTTCTTTACCATTTTATTGTATTGTGTATTTTTGTGCAATATCATTGTAAATTCCAGCATATTTTCTTAGTCTGTAATTTAATTTGATTAATCATGAATCTATTTATTTTAGTTAATTACATTAATTTGTAACACAACTCCATCAGTTTTGCAAGAGTAATAGGTGCATTTGCTGCAAGCCTTCATGGTTGGGAGGCTCTTCCTCTCTCCCCCATTGTGTATAAAAGGAGGCCATCTTCCTTGGTCTCAACACGGAATTTTTTTTGCCTCCATATTATACAGTCAATCTACCCATATATTTTTCTTCCTGTGTGAGAGAATACTGCCACTGTCAGTTCGCCAGTGCTAAACAGAAGGTGCTTCTGTGTTAGCTGGTTTATACCATCGTATTCTGGGAGACAAACACCGACAGGCCTCCAGCACCCACGGTGAGGCAGCGAATCTGTTTTAAAGAGACTGTGATACCACATAGGTTTCGGTTTGCTGTCTTTTCTTCATTTTATCTCCTTATATATTTATGTTCAATCTAGTTATAATTTCCCATGTTTTCATGTTCTGTAGTTTCATTCAAAATTTAATCTCCAACATGAGTTAGATTTATAATTTATTATTATGAAAATCAATTTAATTAAGTATGAGTCTGTGTGGGTGAAAATCTGACCACACTACAATCTTAGTATCCAGCTGGAGAGCACCGGCAGAATAGATGGCACTTGTCTAACCTGCAACAGAAAGAGAAGACTCCGGGGGTACTCCGACGATCAAGTCAGTGCTCAATATCTCTCAAAGATAATCAAGTGCTAAACTCACTACTCAAAGCATAAATTGCGTACCTTAGACCCATGAGGGTGCCTCTCTTTTATAGTTTTCTCAATCCTAGTCCCAATAGAAGCCTGACTTCTATGGACTCCCATTTAGTGTTTACTTTGGTCTCCTCAAGAGATAATGATAGACTCCCTAAGAATACTATCCTTATCCATCTTGAAGTCTTTCTTCATCCTTGGACTCTTGTCTCCTATCCGTTTATCTCGGATTCCGATATCTTCGGAGGAAACCTCGGCCTTGCCGAGATCACCTCGGCACAACGACCAGGACATGTGGCACATCGGCTGACACGTCGGCATCACCTTGCCACGTGTTGGTACTCAGAAAATATATCCCCACAACTGCCCCCTAGGTTCTATTACCCCGGCATTCTGAGGTGATGGAACCTATATTGATACTTCTTTCTGTACATCGGCTCAAGAACTCCTTAGCCGAGATAATTCATTTCAGGCCGACATGTTTTCTTCAGAGAACAAGAACTCAAATGAACTCCTTCATGCGTATGAGCTGTCATACATCATTGTTCAACCATTTCATTCACGCGTCGTATCCCCATTGGCTCGTGCCTGCGACGCGCCTGTAAATCCGTCTTGCGTCTGCAGGTGCCGACTGACGTATACGTTGCTCAAGGGGCATTTATTGCTCTGTTTTGCCGCTGTTTCAAGTTTTTGACAAAACTTGTTCTTCCCTCTTTTTGCCTCTTCACTTTGTACTTCGATTTACTTGCTTTTTCTCTCTCTAAACTCTTTCTCTCGAATCCGCCATTGCTCAAGCTCCAAGCTCTGCAACTGTCTTTATTCGTCTTTCTGGTGAAGCTCTCGCTACTCTGTCACTTCTGTAACCGTCATCTGTCTTCGGCGAACTTTATTCCGGCCTTACTTTGTCTGGTAAGCTACCGTTCCTTTCGTTTTCAATTCTGTTGATATTCTTCATCACTTGTCTGCCACTATTGTTTCAAATCTTGCGAATCACATATCTGAATATATTCATTCAAATGGTTTTGATTTTGCCTAAGTCTTGAATATATACTGTTCACCATTTTATTGCACTCTTGTTGCTGTTCTTGGCCTTTTATTTCTCGTATTCTTTATGCTCTTGATAGCCCATCCCTGTTCTTGATTCTGAAGCATATCCTTGCTTTTCTGTTTTCCAGATCCGTGCCTTCAACCCTTGCTTCCATAGATCTAGGTTTGGGACTTGTTGTGTAGAACCCATAATTAGGAAAAAACTGAAACCAGTACTTACCTAGGTTTTTGCCGAGGTCTCGTTAACCTTCTCAAAACATCTTCTTTCCGAAATCCAACCCCGACCATTCAGGCCGATATCATAGGTATGTGGAGACATAGGGTAGATACCCCGACCAAACTAGAGTACTTTAGGCAAGAGTTCTCCATTCCTGTCGATGCCCATCTGAGGCTGGCTGGAGATGACGACTCCATCATGACTACAAATGATTCGATGCCCTTTCCCATTGTAGCTTTTACTGAGTGTGGACTCCGGCTTCCACTTAACATCCTCTTTCGCGAGGTTCTTCACTATTATAAGTTGAACCCCATGCAACTGACCATAAATTCTTATCGAGTGATCAATGGTATCCTAGCCTTAGCTAAACAGGAGAATGCTAGGATCACTTTAGCCGATATCCAGTATTGCTATACCATGTGTGCCCTTAATTTGAAGGAAAAAGGCTATATCTATTATCTTAAGCCGAGGTCCACAGAATTCAAAATCGTAGCCGACCTCCCAGACTCCAACAAGGGGGCTGGAGACGACTACTTCATTACCTCGGGAAATTGGGAGTTTGCTCCAAACGAGGACCACCATCTCTTCCCTCTTCCTCGATCAGTTTTAGAGGGCAAGGGTAAGAGCCCAGTGTTCTGATTTACCTGTCTTCTTTCAAAGTCCCAAATACTTTATCTGTTCCTGATGTCTTGTTCTTCTTGCAGATGTCCGTAAGCCACCAAAGAATTTTCGACAATCCTTTGTTCCCAGCAAGGATTTGAAGAAACTTCTGGACTTGCCAGTCCATAAAAGGAAAGCGCCTACACTTCTCAATTTTATTCCAACATACAAGTCAACGTTGCCTGACGTCCCGAAAAGGAAGAAGAAAAGTCTTTCTCCACCATCTGCCACAACTCCATTGGCTGCATCCACATCACGAACAGACCAAGGATCAACCTCTGATCCAGCTGATCAGCCATCAACTTCGGTTCCATACTTGATCCCAATACCGGAACGAAAACGTCGGCGAAGACTTGTCCTAGCTGCCGAGATGGGTCGCTCAAAACCAATTGCCAAAGATCTTCTTGCCAATCTTCCAACTGATATTGATGCTCAACCAATTCCAACCCAACCTCCACGAAAACTGAAAAGAGTGAAGAAGGCTCAGCCAAAGGCTAAAGTAACTCAGGCTGAGTCTGAGGACACTTTACCAATTGCTATGTTGACTGAGAGTGACAAACCGCCACTTTCTGCTGGGAAGAGTTGCTCTAAGTCTCAACCATCTGAATCTACAAAATCGAAGAGGCCGAGGTCAGCCTCTGCAACGACCTCGGGGTCAAAAAAACCTGATCCCCCCTGGGCCCCAGAAATCACTCTTAAAGACAAGCCTGTTATGGCTAGTGATAGTGCCGATGACATAAATGTCGGCGTTGCCCTGAGCACTGCTCTGCTTCTTCCAGGAGATCTGGAGCGAAACGCCGAGCTCAGCGAGTACGAGAATTACACTCTGATGTTTCAGAGATCTGTTTAAGTAAGTGTCTTCTTTTAAGTAGTTTTTCTCTCTTTTTTTCGTACTTAGAAATTCTTCAATAACTATTGCCTCGTGTTCTTTCAGGCCATCCAACATGTGCATTCTTTCTCTATGCAATCTTTCGAAAATCGGGAGAAGTTGGCCGAGATGAAGAGGGAGTTTTCTATCCTTCAAAAAACCAACAAGGGCCTCCAGTCAAAAATGAAGAAGTTGGAGGACCAGGCCGAAGCTGCCATTAAAGCCCAAAATGAAGCCGAAAAAAAGGCTGAGTCTACCGAGGCCATCAGAAAGGTTGCCGAAGCTCAAAAGAAGGAGGCCGAGGAGAAAACAGCTCAAGCCGAGAAGGAGCTTCAGGAGGCCCTGGCCACCAAAGATGCCGAAATAAAAGCTGCCGATGAAAAGGCATACGAACAAGGCATGGTCGATGTTACGGAAGCCTATGAAGCACAAGTCAGGCAGGCATGCAACAGGGGCTTTTCCCTTGGTTGGATGTCCCTTGCCAAAAAGCTTAATGTTCCTGAGGATTCGCCTCTGAGAAAGGCCGACGCCATTCCTCTTCCTTTTCCTTTTCCTCTACCTCTATCAGCTCAATCTGATACTGAATCTAGGTCTGAGTCTGAGGATGATAATGAGGATGAAGGTGAAGCCTTGGTGAGGAAGCCCAAAGATGCTGATGTGGTCAAGTCTCCTCCTCAGTTTGAGCAAGTCCTAGACTTAACCCAATCTGAAGAGGTTGAGGAGGTGCCCAAGGAAGACATTCCAGAGCATGTATCATCCGAGGTTCCTCTAGCCGACAAAAGCATTGACGAAACACTTGCCCAAATTGATTCTGAGATCGCGGCAGAAAAGGCAGCCGAGGTATCTTCCCAACAATCATCTGAACCTCAGACTCAACCAACTGCTACGGTTGAGGAATCTTAGTTTTAAGTTTATTTTCTTCTGAAAACAATATGAGTTTTTCACATGGCCGATGTGCCTTCTTTTGTGCACAACTGCAACTGTTTTCTCTGAATGCTTCAATCTTTAATTTCTCTTGATTGCTTCTGCATGGTTCTATACTTGGAATATTTTGCACGTCTTACATACTCATCCTCCTTTGTGTGATCTTCTCAGGGTTGCATACCTCGGGTATAATAACTGATGATTTACCTTGGCAAGAACTTGTCCTGTAAATTTTTCATAAATTTCAACAAGTGTAAAACAAATACTGTTTCAGTGTTAACTTTGTAAACTTTTCTTAAGTTTCAACAAGTGTTTAAACAGTGATCTTGGTCTAACCAACTTGTAAATTGCTACAAATTTCAACAAGTGTTTAAACAATGATCCCGGGTTAACAACTTGTAAATTGCTACAATTTCAACAAGGGAAAACGTATACTGGTTTAATTTCTACTTTTCAAACTTTTCTTAAGTTATAACAAGTGCTAATAATCATCTTGGTTTTAACTTCAACTTGTAAATTGCTACAAATTTCAACAAGTGAAGATAAGCAATAATTTCGGTTTAACAACTTGTAAATTGCTACAAATTTCAACAAGTGAAGATAAGCAATAATTTCGGTTTAACAACTTGTAAATGTAAATTGTTACAAATTTCAACAAGTGTTTAAACAATGATCCCGGTTTAACAACTTGTAAATTGCTACAATTTCAACAAGGGAAAACGTATACTGGCTTAATTTCTACTTTTCAAACTTTTCTTAAGTTATAACAAGTGCTAATAATCATCTTGGTTTTAACTTCAACTTGTAAATTGCTACAAATTTCAACAAGTGAAGATAGACAATAATCTCGGCTTAACTTCAACTTGTAAATTGATACAAATTTCAACAAGTGAAGATAAGCAATAATTTCGGTTTAACAACTTGTAAATTGCTACAAATTTCAACAAGTGGTAAACAATGATCTCGGCTTAACTTCAACTTGTAAATTGCTACAAATTTCAGCAAGTGAAAATAAGCAATAATTTCGGTTTAACCAACTTGTAAATTGCTACAAATTTCAACAAGTGGTAAACAATGATCTCGGCTTAACTTCAACTTGTAAATTGCTACAAATTTCAGCAAGTGAAGATAAGCAATAATTTCGGTTTAACCAACTTGTAAATTGCTACAAATTTCAACAAGTGGTAAACAATGATCTCGGCTTAACTTCAAGTTGTAAATTACTACAAATTTCAGCAAGTGATGATAAGCAATAATTTCGGTTTAACCAACTTGTAAATTGCTACAAATTTTAACAAGTGGTAAACAATGATCTCGGCTTAACTTCAACTTGTAAATTGCTACAAATTTCAACAAGTGAAGATAAACAATAATTTCGTTTTAACCAATTTGTAAATTGCTACAAATTTCAACAAGTGGTAAACGTTTTTGTCCTCTCTCTGCCCCCAATGTGAACCTGAGTTCTACTTAGGTTCTCATTATTCATAAACAACATTATGCATCTTTTATCAGTTCACAAGTATTGAAGAATTCTGCTAAGATTTTATTGCTTACGTCGGCAAAAAATAACAAGGAACTTCTAATGATAGAAAAATTTCAAATTACAAGTGTTCCAGGGTCTAGGCAATGCTTTGCCCTCATTATCTTCAAGCCGATAGGCTCCATTGCCCAATACCGAAGTGATTCTGTAGGGTCCTTCCCAATTTGGGCCAAGCTTTCCCTCTCTGGGATCCTTCTTGTTGCCGACGACTTTTCTCAGGACTAAGTCGCCGATCTTAAAATCCCTTGGATTGACCTTCTTATTGTAAGCTCTGGCAAGCTACTGCCGGTATGCTGTGAGCTGAATTACAACTTTCTCCCTTCTTTCTTCTAAGAGATCCAGATCTCGGGCTAGAAGTATATCATTGATCACATTCTCCACTCCCTGGGTTCTGATCCCTGGGATGCCGACCTCCAATGGGATGACTGCTTCTGTGCCATAAGCCATGGCAAAAGGGGTTTCCCCTGTTGATCTTCTTGGCGTAGTTTGATATGCCCAGAGTACATTGGGCAACTCGTCTACCCACTTTCCTTTTGCTGCCTGCAGCCTCTTCTTTATCCCATCCAGAATTACTTTGGTGGATGCTTCTGCTTGCCCATTGCTTTGGAAAAAACTCGGTGTTGAAAAGTAATTCTTTATCTTGAATTTTGCACAGAAGTTCTTGATGAATTTGCTGTCGAACTGCGTTCTGTTGTCGGCAACTATTGCTCTTGGAATGCCAAATCTGGTGATGATGTTTCTCCATATGAAGTTCTTGACATCTACATCTCGGATTTTGGCCAGAGGTTCTACTTCTATCCACTTCGTAAAGTAATCTGTTACTACCAGCAAGTACTTCCTTTGCCCCGTTGCTTGGGGCAACTGCCCAACGAGATCCATGCCTCATTGGGCAAATGGCCATGGACTGGATACAGGGTTTAGGTCAGCAGCTGGCTGATGTATCAAAGGTGCAAACCTTTGGCATTGTTCACACTTCTTCACGTAGGCTTCAGCATCTTTTTGCATGTAGGGCCACCAATACCCCTGGGTAATAGCCCTGTGAGCTAGTGATCTACCCCCAGCATGGTTTCCACAAATTCCTTCATGAATTTCATATAGAAAATCTTCAATCTGTAAGGGGTGTACGAACCTTAAAAGAGGTCCAGTGAAGGACCTTCTGTAGAGATGTCCATCCGCTGTCAGACTGAATCTTGCCGATTTCAATCTAACTTCGTGTGCCTCCTTATGACCTTCTGGCAGCTTTCCTTCCTTTAGGAATGCAACAATTGCATCCATCCAGCTTGGTCCCATGTCCACACACAATGCTTCTTGCTCTGTGATCAGTTGTTCTTTGCTTGGGCCCGACAAAAAGTCAATCATTATTGTCCTTGTTTTTCCAGTTTGCATTGAACTTGCCAGATTGGCCAACGCGTCGGCGTGGCTGTTATCATCTCGGCTGACCTGAAGAAGTCGGCAGTTATGAAACAAGGCTGCCAGCCTAATGACTTCCTTTGCGTATGCCGACATTCTCTTATCTCTGGCTGCAAACTCTCCTGTTGTTTGATTTACTATAAGTTGTGAATCACAAAAAATTATTACCTCATCTGCTTCTACTGCCACTGCTAGCTTTAGTCCTGCAATCAGTGCTTCGTATTCTGTCTCATTGTTTGAGGCCTTGAACCCTAATCGAATAGATTGTTCCAATATCTCCCCATCGTGAACTCGGCCACGAAGTCGGCTAAAACTTGGCCCTTGATTGCTGTTCTCGGCCTGAACTCCAGGTCATACTGGCCCAAGGCCACTGCCCATCTTGTTATTCTACCAGTTAAGTCTCCTTGTTGCAACAAGGACTTCAGTGGGTGCTCTGTTAGCACCACAATCTTGTGCGCCTGAAAGTAATGGTTCAGCTTCTTTGAAGCCATTACTAAGGCCAGCATTAATTTTTCTAGTGGCAGATACCTTGTTTCTGCATCGACCAAGGTTTTGCTTACATTGTAAACAGCCTTCTGCTCTTCTTTTTCTTCTCGGATCAACACTGCACTTACTGCGTGTTCTGACATTGCTAAGTATAAAAACAGTTCTTCCCCAGGTTCAGGTGTTGAAAGGACTAGAGCCATGGTCAGGTATTTCTTCAGGTCGGCCAAAGCGGCCTCACATTCCTCAGTCCACAGGAAGTCCGTGGCCTTTTTCACCAGGTTGAAGAAAGGTTTACATTTGTCTGAGCTTCGGCTTATGAACCTGTTTAGGGCTGTGGCCCTTCCAGTTAGCATTTGTACCTGTTTTGCTGATATCGGGCTCTGTAGGTCTAGGATGGCCTTGATTTGATCTGGGCTGGCCTCAATGCCCCTTCTTGTTACCAGGTACCCCAAAAACTTACCAGATCCAACTCCAAACGCACACTTCGATGCGTTGAGTTGGAGCCGATATGTTTTGAGGATCTCAAAGACCTCTTTTAGGTCGGCAAGATGACCCTTTGGTTCCTTGGTCTTCACGACCATGTCATCGATGTAGACTTCTACTGTTTGGCCAATCAGGTGTTTGAACATCTTGGTTACCAACCTTTGGTAAGTTGCTCCTGCGTTTTTCAACCCAAATGGCATTACCTTGTAATAGTACAACGTTTTCAGGGTGATAAATTCTGTCTTCTCCTCATTTGGGGGGCACATGGCTATCTGGTGGTATCCCCTGTAAACATCCAGGAAGCTCATCCTTCCATGTCCAGATGTGGCGTCTACCAACTGGTCAATCTTGGGTAGAGGAAAGCTGTCTTTGGGACAAGCTTTGTTCAGGCTTGTAAAATCTACGCAGACCCTCCATTTACCGTTCTTCTTCTTTACTACCACAGTGTTTGATAGCCATGTCGGGTAATTGACTTCTCTGATGGCTCTGGCTTCCAGAAGTCTGTCTACTTCCTCCTTTACTGCTTCGACGTGCATCAACGTCGGTCTTCTGGCTCGTTGTATTACAGGTTTGGCCGACCTGTCGACGTTCAGTTTATGACATGTGACCTCGGGGTCAATGCCAGGCATTTCATAAGGTGTCCAAGCGAACACCTCTATGTTTGTTCTCAAGAAAGCCTCCAGTTCTCTTTCCTCTTCTTCGGCTAAGCCTGAGCCGAGAAGAAAGAAGCGTTCTTCATTGCCCTCCTGGACGAGGATTTTCTTTAGTGTTTCTTCACTTTTCTCGGTTGGTTCCTTGCCGACATCATTTAGGACTTTCATGTCCTCGTCTTCGATCTCTGCCTTCCCTGGTTCTCGAATGTTGCAGGTAGTTTTCATTGCTACCATGGAGCAATTCTTTGCTTGCAGTTGATCTCTTCTGATTTCTTCAATCCCATGTTCTGTTGGGAACCGCAATAGTTGATGCAACATTGAGGGAACTGCCCCTATTGCATGCAACCATGGCCTTCCCAAGATGATGTCGTAAGGTGAAGGTGTATCAATCACAATGAATTCTGTCA